CGAACTTCTTGTGCTCCGCCTCTTCCTCTTCGCGCCGCTTTTGTTCCAACGCTTCTCTCATTTCAGTCGCCTTTCGCTCCGACAGACGATTAATCCAATCGATGGCCACCGACACCATTGTGAACGTCATCACCACTCCTATGCTGCTGTTGCCCTCCGTGTCCAACAGGTCCAGCAGTTCCCGTTCGTCGATGTCATCCAAATTGGCTGAATCTGTGATCTCGATCTCTGGAAGTGTATCCGGATATGTGTCTGGAAAGCGGAACTGCAGCACCACTTCATCTGCCAATCAAATCAAACACTCAATCACATCATAATCAATAGTTCTTCAGAGCATTTGATCCGTACATATGTTGTCCGAAATGGTGTCCCCATTAACGTCCACATTGTTCTGTGGGTCAGACTTCAATGATACCGTAAACTTGGGATATGGTGTCCGACTGACCACTGGATTGTTAGGATGAAGACAAGGTTAGTAATAATCATCACCACAACTGATCCACACATACCTTCTAATTCATTGGAGTAAATCGCTTCCAAAGCCTCCAATTCGTTGGTCTGTTCTTCGGTGTAATTCATGTCTTCTGATAATCGTCTTCTCGTATGTATTCCTCGATATATCAACGCATGTCTGATGTGGTAATTAATGTGACAAATGGTATGTAAATTGTGTCCAAACTGATGATCATTGACTGAAGTGTGCAGTGAATGTCAAACACGTGTAAACATTGGATCACTATTTTGTTAGACTAATGCATTTACACTTACAGTACAATCCAATGATTAGATTTGTAGAGATTATTCATATTCTTATAATAGGATTAAGCACTCAATTGTCGACAAAAGTATTCTCAATGAGAAATTAAAACAGAATAAATAGTTACTATTTGAGGAGTTGTTTATGAAGTTTATCATTAAAATTATATGAGGGGGCAATAAATGTTTGTTTATTAGTGACAGCATATATGAATGATTCAATTTAAATATTTTAAAATCTAAGCGTTGATTGGCGGTTATGTAAGGGCACGTGACCTCACGTTAACCAATAGTAAGCAATAGTGTATTTGTATGAAAAATTACAGTCATTTTGTGTGAAATTCATTCACTGTTGAGGTTATGGTTAGTAAACCCATTGAGTGATTACTGATTGCCATTTCGTTGTTTGTCACCAAATTGATCCATAAGTGATAGACAAGTGTCCACTAGTAGTGGTAGTTATGGCAAAACGACAGCCAAGTAGTCATCGAAAGCGTAAACCCGTAGCGAAAGAGGTGACAGAAAGTGGTCGACAGACTCGGAGTCGTAAGATAACGATAGCCGTGACCACTGAAGCAGAGGTGTCTTCGTCGCCATCACCGGTAAAGGAGGATCTGTGCCAATACTACCCGACCCGCAAACGAAGTCAGCCGTCGCCCAGAATTACTGTTAAATTCACTCGACTTAAGAGTCCGCCGAAAGTGAAGACATTGTTGTCGACCGAGACGTTCATCGGTTATGGCGATGATGTCGACGATGACCACGAGTTAGTGGTTGTCGAGAGGTTTGCCATCAATAACAGCAAACAAACAGCTGGTGAGGGTGTGAATGGTGTGATTGGCGCCAATAAGTCAACCGCTTGTGATGATGTCCACAGTTTGCTGACCACATGGAAGTCCTGCACGACTGATGATAATGACGATGACGTGTGTGACCAAAATGGTGGTCAGTCTAGTGGTGGTGCTGAAGGTGTACCACAGATGGAGATAATGACTGACGCGTTGACAGCACTGAAACCATTTGAGAAGACTTTTGGTGACAATTCTGATAATAATTTGGATAATGAGAGCATTGATAGAAACAATGAGATTGTGTCCGATTTGTGTGACATTGAAGTTGATGTTCAGATGGCAAGTGATTCAGATGTGCGTAAAGTGAATGGCAATGATTGTGGTGATGATGAGGATGTGTTCGACGACTCTTTGGATGAAATGCTGTCTCAGTACGACTTCCCACCGCCACAGCCCACAGATAACAACCAAAAGGATGTGATTGAAGTGAATGATGTCCACAACGATGTCAAAGAACTTAATGGTGTCGACAGTAATGTGAATGAAGCCAATGGTGTGGACAACGATGTGATTGATGCGGAGGAATGGGACGATGGTTTCGAGTCGGACGACGAGTTCGAGAGAATGATAACTCAATTGCCAACCGAAGCACTGATGGGTAGAAGTGATTCCGGTTTGGAAACCACTCGTATGAACGCCAGTACCGCGTCGACCACCAGTTCCTCATCCGATACCAGTTTAATGACACTTTCGCAGATGATTGCGCTTATAAACAGTCAATGAGTTTAGTTATACCGTAGTCTACCGTTTATATACACATCCCGTTCCTATGAATCACTTTATTTTATACTTTATCATTAAGTTTTGTTTTTTGTCCACTTTATAAGTCAATTATCTCACAATTGAATGGTAGGCCATTAGGACCAGCTTTAGATTGGGTTTTGGTTCATATGAAAAGTACCAATGAATGAATGAACTCATTAATTGTGTAATGTTTGCCTGGCTGCTTCTAATCGCCTAGCATTCAATTATATCAAATCATTTGATGTCAAAAAGCATTTCTTTATATTATTTTTAATGCAATTTATATTTTTGTTATGACATACTGTAAGATCTCAATTTCATGATTTATATGATTAAACTATTATTATAATCATTTTGTACCAGATACTAGCAAATTGCGTTAATTTACATCTGAATTAATATTGAAATTATGTATGGAAATTGAAAGTAGATTATGAACTAAGACTTAGTTACTAAGTAGACTCTACTTGCTATTACGGTAATAGAAGTTTGTATTGTACCGTAATCGTTTTCTTCGTTAATGATAATAATTTTTAATTTTAGTCTTACCGTAATATTTAGTACAAAGAAATTTACAAGTAATTTAATTACTATTAGTAATAGTCTATTACCATGACAATTGTAACCCGGGTATCAATAATACAATCTAAAGGTAATAGCCAAGCAAAACATTCAATTAAATTAACAAATATACTGTACAATAATTTACAATTTTATTCACATTTCATATAAAATAAAATAATTGTCGACAAATCAATTGGTAATATCAAGGGATTAGTTTATAAAAACAATAAATGGTATAAAACTGTGTTTTAAAACTTTTTAGAAACGTTTAAACAATAAATTAGTCGATAATAAGATCTATATTACAGAGGAATCTGAGGCTAGACTTCAAACCTGATATTCAGTGGTCGAGTGATCACTTCATAGAAGGACTCCATCGTAGCTCTGGTGCCGTTGAAGCAAAATATGTCCAGTTTTGGGCAACAGTTGACCAATTGTTGAACACTGGTTACCGTCACATACGAGCACTCGTTGACCAGTAGTTCCCTAATATTCTTAGAGCAGACACCCGATGCGAAATAGCAGAGTCCGTCGTCCGATATAGGCGTCCGACTCATGTCCAGACTCCTCAGGTGTGGACAGTTGTCTGCAATCAATTTGACGGCTCTGTCTGTAATACTACAGCCGCACAGTTGCAGTACCTGTAGGTGCGGACAGTTTTGCGTAATACTGTCCACCACTGAATCGTTGACTTCAATACAGTTACTAAGCCTCAACTCCTCTAAACCGCTGCACACAGTGAACAGTGGGGTCAGTGCGGGCGCCGACACCATATTATAGTTGGAAATACGGGCGCCTAAGTCCAGGTACTTAAGCCTATGACAGTGCCGTCTAATCAAATTGACGGTGAAATCACTTTTTAAGCAGTCGTTCAGATTTAAGACAATGAGTTCATTGGTTATGAGATAAGGGATGTTCTCATCGCTCAAGAGTTGCCTTTTAGACAAATCTCCGACCAGTCGAGCCTTCAGAGTGGCCGGCAGTTCGCTAATCATTTGCCAATACTTTTGCCACTCAAACAGCCGGCGCTTGGCGTCACATTTGGAGCATACGTTGAACACCGCTCTGAAACTGATGTCCAATAAAGACAATGGTTTTGTGGAATTCATTAGTGGTTTATCTGTTATGAAAATTAATTGCCAAACAAATCAATTATAATATAATTTATGAGATTTATTATTAATTAATTAAAAATTAGTCTATTTTAAGTACTAAATTATATAATCTAAACAATTATCGTCTAATTTCTGATGAACACAACCTCATGAGTGATACGAATATCTATTATCACATTAATTGACACTAAAACCAGAGGTTCGTTGTATGGCTTTGTGTTGGTCGGCATCACTCATGTGACGATAAGACTCGAAATGCATCGAAAAACTAGCGGTTCCTGAGGTGAGAGTTCGAACAAACGTGGAATAATTGATTAGATCTGATAGAGGGGTCACTGCGTTCACCACTTGGAGGTCACCCTTTGAGCTCATGTCACCGATTTGTGATCTTCTCACCGAAAGGTCACTAATAATGGCTCCGATATATTGCTCGGGAGTTGTGATCTCGAGACTCATGTAAGGCTCGAGCAGTTGCGGAGAAGCCTTCTTCAGACAATTGGTCACACATTGATTGACAGTCGATATAATCATAGGAATGGTTGTGCGGGATGTGGTCTCAAACCATAGCAAATCGACGGCAACATCCATGACAGGGAACGACAGTATGGGACCAAAATCGAGTCCATTTTGTACACCGGCTTCTATAGCCTTCAAGTGGTCGGCCCTTAGTTTTCCCAAATCATTGTCTTTGGTGACCACAACGCGAACCAATTCACTCGTCAACCACTTCTTCACTGACTTTGGACTCAATTGTAGTGTTATTTTGATTCGATTCTTATTTCCACCGATTATTTTGTTCACATCCAGTGTCTCGTGGTGTCTCAGTCGCTAACAGAGGGCTATACTGTGGACTTCCCCAGGCTCTATACGCAGGTGAGGCATGAGTAAGTCATATGCTAGAAACTAGTGGACTAATCTCCTATAGTTCTGTATTTCATAATCCGATTAAGGTATAAGTTGTGCTGTAATAGTAGCACAAGTACTGTACCTCTATATGCAGTTCTCCCATCCCTTTGATCACTGTCTGTCCCGACTCTTTATCGGACAGTACTTTAAAGGACGGGTCCTCTCTCTGCAAGTGAGCCAATGCTAACTCCAAGTCCTTTAACTTGGAGAGTGAGGGCGACTCTATGGAGCAGTAGAATACGGGTTCGGGCACTGATAGGCCACCAAATACTGGCTCAATGTCTGTCCGCTTTTGTTCAAACATGCGTTTCGCCTGTTGTGTGAAATTGAAATACAATTTTATAAATATTTTTAAATGTTATGAATACAAGACTCACGTCATTGGCCACCGACTGGGATGTGACTAACGTATCGCCGGTAATGGTGTGCGAGAGACCGGTAACGACCGCTATATTACCGGCGCTGACGCGAGAAACTTCTCGAAAGTCATCCGCAAAAGCGACGAATAGTTTATGAATTTTCTCGGATTTGTCGCGATTTATATTAAACATGGATTGCCCGGCCTTTAAGTCGCCGGAGTATAGGCGCACAAAGGTCACACAACCCAACCTTTTGTCGAAAATAATTTTGAAGGCAAAGGCACACAATTGGCCCGAATATAGGGCCTGTATTTGTCGTACTTTTTCTAAAGGACTCGGAAAGTAGCGACAAATGGAGTCCAGAAGCAACTGAACGCCTGTATTCTTATAGGAACTGCCGCACAGCACAGGAAAGCCTAGTTGTCTGATAGTGACCCGCCTCACAGCGTTCTGCACCGACTGTACGCTAATGTCTGCGACAGTACTGGCGCTCAGTATCTCTTCGGATAACTTGTCGTCTAAATCACTGATAGAACCGATCAGTTCTTCGCGAAGATTCTGTGCTTTAGTGAACATATCATCACTCGATGTCAATGGAGTGGTAATAAACTCTTTGCCGTCGCTGTCATCGCGAGGCCAGACGTGTCTCTCCATAGACACCAAATCGATGACACCGTTAAATGCCTTTCCTGTGCCTAACGGCACGTGTATTGGCAATGGTTTTGCACACAATTTTCGTTCAATACTATGAATACAATCTTCAAAAACTGCAGAATTCTTATCCATTTTATTCAAATAGACAATCCTAGGGATGGCGTACCGGTGCGCCTGTGACCACACCGTCAGTGTCTGTGCCTCTACACCGGCCGACGCGTCCAGTATAGTGACGGCCCCGTCCAGTACACTGAGAGCCCGTTCCACCTCTACGGTAAAGTCCACGTGGCCGGGGGTGTCGATGAGGTTCACGCGATGCCCTTTCCAGTGAAAGGTGGTGGAGGCGGACGTGATAGTGATACCCCTTTCCCTTTCCAACGACATGTAGTCCATGACAGTGTCTCCGTCGTGCACTTCGCCCATAATGTCGGTGCCGCCCGAGTAGTACAGCATCCGCTCTGTCGTAGTGGTCTTTCCGGCGTCGATGTGGGCTATTATGCCGACGTTACGGGTGCGCCGGGGGTCGTGATCCGCCTCCCATTGGGCGCCCACTCCCGACGCCCCCGCACGACGTGTGGAGCCGTAAGACCTCTTCAGTGAATGCATAAACTTTTGACAACATTTGCGGTTTGTTTGCAAATACATAGATCTGATTGTGCGAGAAGTGAGTGTTTGTCGCAAATTAATTAAGTTTTCATTTGTCACACGTTTTTATGTTACATATTATTATAAGCAGTGTTTTCATCAAATGAGACAAACTATTAGCGCAAATAAAGTGTCATTTATTTGTTTGTTTCAAGCGATTATCACTCAAATCAAAGCAATTGTTTTCTGACCACACCTTTGCTTACCATTGGGTTTGTGTTCAACAAAATACAGACTATAATTAAATCTCACTTTTATCTCAATTATAGTTTTATAAATTACTAAATATATACATGTATCATATATGTTAATTATAATTAATGTTAACTTTGTAAATTACCAAACATTAAAAATGCATTACTTTTAAATAGTCTACTATTTTAATCGTATAATTAAAATTATATTACCGGTATATATAATATAATAGCTATTATAGGCTTATTATTAATTCATAAATAAATGTATTAATAAATCAAAACATGACTTACATTTAGTTAATTAATTCAGTGTTTGTATTATTAAACATTAAACACGTGTTTTGAATGCAGTTATCTGTCATTGATTTTAATGTTATTTTTCAAAACACTAAAATTTCAATCAAAATTAATATTATTACTAATATTATATTTGTTTATTTATTGAGTAACTGATTTAAAGTCAACACAATAATTGTCATTAAAACACAATACAAATGCATTTATTGACAATTTGTTTACACATTGAGTCTCTGTTTTGTTTACCATTTGTAATGATAGCGATGTTTAAGGCAATGGGAGACAACAGTAGCGCCAATACTGTCGTATCGATTCCTAAACAGTATATCAAATATATGGCAAACAATACGTGACAATAGGTGTCACTATAAACTGTCATTCATATGATTGTCACAAAGTTTTGGCTAAAAATAGCAATGATTTCAGTGTTCATGTGAATCATCCCTTCAGTCCATTGAGTGCTTGCATTCAGTAAATTACAAACATTTTTGTGGCTTTTTATCGTTAAAAAAACTTTGAATTAATTGTAATTTTATGACACAATTAGTTGTAGTAATGATTGGATGTATTTGTTTGAATGAATACACATTAATATATATGAATACAGCTATTAATTAGCGAAATGTATGAATGAATTGCAAAACCGTATTAATTAGCGTTAAATGCCTTCATATCTCATGATTACTATATTTACTATTATTTGTGTTTAAATGAAATGCAATTAAATTTAGTTCACAATAGTATACATCGACTCACAAGTTATGGATTCAAGACAACTGTGCTTAACATTAGACGCCATCCACTACTGCGAGACATCCACTGTCTTAACACTTACCACAATCTCATCGCCAGAAACACATTTATGACATCCAATGGTAGCCGCAAACGAGTGGTTATGTGGACTATATTTAGAGACAAATGCTTTTTACGGCAAAAGTCTTGTAATAATACGACAATTAACAGGCGATTGACATCAATATCATCGCCAATACGACAGCAACTGAACGACGGCTCAAAGTCTTCGTCGACGGGCGGCGCCGATGAGCCGACCGGTGGTGTGAACTACTCCTCCGGAAGTGATACGACTTCTGGTGAGCTGACCAGTGATGACGAGGACCTGTTCCACGAGCCGCCGAAGGTTAGGTTCGGGCTGTTGAAGGTGGCGCTCACCATAATGGCCGGCACTTACGCCGGAGCCATGTTTGCCATGTTTGGCGCCAATGTGTTGGAAGAGTTCGAGATATTCGTGAAGGGAGACGACGAGGACGACGACTGACCACCACTTCATATCATTACCATCGATGAGATCTGTTGTGTTGACGCAGTAGTGGTCACTCACGCCCAATGGACACCATTACCATCGATGGCATAAGTGATATTGGATAGTATTGGTGGTGATTGACCACTCGCTCACATCTGTGCCATCGATGGTGTCCTTAGTGTTGGACAGTGTTTGTGTTGAGTGACATCCAGTGATTGCTGTTACCATCGATGGTATCCGTAGTGGTGGATAGTCTTCTTGTGGCCACAACTCTTGATGATAATGTATTCAGCGCTCAATTGTTTTATTGATTTGATTCTTGGTATTCAAGTATTGACCCGTTTTTTGAGGATACTTTTAATGAGCTTTTAATGATTATTATATTTTGTTTGAATCGATAGTTTGTATCGACTCTTATATTATTGTCATTATTTTATAAGACATGAAAACCATATTTCAAAATCTTATAATCAAGTGATAAATCATTTTATATTTTTATCTCTGATAAAAAGCACTTTTTAGTGAATAGTTTCGGTTTTTTGAGTATAAAATACTTTATATATTAGGATATAATTCAAAGTGTCATCTCTTATGTTAAACCTCAACATCTGTGAGAATTTTATTATCGATTAAAATAATTGATTTTTTGTCTCTCAGATCTAGTCTATTATAAAATACTTTTAAAATGAACAAAAAACTTTTGTTACACTTATATTGCACACTAAACTTAATGAAAAAATTATATTTAATGTTTTTGTTTGCGATGAAAATAGTTACAAAATCTTATAAAGATTTTGAGTGAAATTATAATATATTGTTGATTAAGATATCACTCAAAATACAGTTTAATTTATTTAATGAACAACTAAATGAATTAATGGATTTGTATTTTACATAAATAAGCAATTATTCCCCTTCAAAGCCTATACTATAATTGCCTCACATTTTGTATAAACCATATGAGAATCTATTATATAATTAAAACTCTTCCACTAAACTATACAAAATCTTTCATTTTTTTAATTAAGTATTGATTAAAATACAAATACATTTTTTATTCATTTAATTAATTTGTTACTAGTCACTTTCTGTTTATTAGTATTAGTATTTATTGTCATTTTTTAATTGAATTAATTGTTTGGTCTGTGCTTTATTATTAGTTTTTTATATTATTTTATGATTTCTAAGTTATAAATCTAATTACAAAGTAATTTGTTATCTCATTATTATGATTGCTGTAATTTAGTCCTCTTTTGATTTTTTATTATGAATTAATATAATTTATATAACATTACAATTAATATAAATTGTATGGCTTTATAGCCAAACACAAAATGCCTAATAATTTGTGAATTCTACGGAATCGTTAAATAAAGCGCTCATTGATAACATACAACTGATTATTGCTTATCGTTATTAGACATTTCAACTGTTAATTACACATTCATATAAATTGTGTCAATAATACAAACGAATATTCAAACAAGAATTCTGTTTAATTATGACATTACATGAGATGTTTGGTTAAAATCTTGGAAACAAAAACAATAAAAATTTAACGATTTATTCATTTGTTTGAAATGTGTTTCTATTTTTATATTTATATAATATAACATTTTTGTGCTCTCTCTCTCTCTCTCTCTCTCTCTCGTGTAATATCATATCAAGTCGTACTCTAAATCTCACGAAACTGAGATGTTTTTTCAGATGAGTTGCCGGAGATGTGTCTTAAAAGAGGGAAGTTATAGAAATAAGTTTTGCTCTTATTTTAATGTTTCAATTTTCATTTCTCTGATGATATTCACATTACATGTGCTCTCAATACTATTTCCGCACAATTTTGTTTTTGTTTTTATTTCACCATTACTTCTATTATTCTGTATACATATATAAATTCTTTAACCACAGAATATATACAGAATTTTGATAATGTTTTTTGTTTGTCATAACTGTGTGCTTCAATACATTTCTATAGAGGTTTAACTGTTTTTATACTTGACTTGTATTGTGATAAACAAGAATTGAAAGAATAGGGATTCAAATGCAAGAATATAATACTAGTACTAGTAGTACAGTATTACTTTTATTTCACTATCCATTCAAACCTTTCATATGTTATTTCATTTTTTACAATACTTGATTTGTTTATAGATCGTGTATTTACTGTATAATAGTTATTTTCTATAGTATTTTTATTAATGATTTTAGTATTCTATAGTATTTTATTTTGATATACTGTATAAAGTATTAGCAAATTATCAAATTATATCAATTGTGTTTACACTCAAGTAAAATGGTTTTGCAGTTCAATCCACTCATGACTTCAATAAAAGACGAGATTCTTAATAATAGATGAGTTTCTCAATGATATATTATACTTTATATGACAGCAAAAGGTATACCAGAATAAACAGAATATGTGTTAAAATTTGTTTTTGTTTTAATGCCAAACCGTTTTTCTCTCGCAACCATTTGCCTCATTACTATGGGAATAGGACTACACTTTCTTATAGATACAACTCGACTGGTATTGTAGTCACGAAACAAATATCAGAGCAAATAATTTATATCCGGATTCATTTTTATCATCCTTTGCTTAATGCCTGTCCTCTCATCTCAAGTCTCGTACTATATTACGTTTTCCTCTCAATTATTTTATTCTGTTGTTTCGCTTTATTATTGAATTGCTTTCAGAATAGGTTTGGAAATAGAGTTGGGATTAGAGATGAGAGTGAGATTGAGAGTGAGTGAGTGAGTGAGTGAGAGACCACAATATAAATACATAGATTTTTCTGTGTAAGTAATTGTATTAGTATATTGTTATAGAGATTGCATGCACCGGTAGCACATTGTACTGTTGGATATTCCATAGACTACTCTACTATTATATATTGTGTATAAAATACGGTAAGTATTTGTACCAGATATACATTCTTGTGTAACATTTATATCACTGAATAATTTAATGTGTATTTTACAGATAAAACTTGGAAACTGTTTTATGTCCATAAATTGAAGGGAAATTGATTTTGTATTTTACAAATAAATATTATAGTATTTTATATCTTATTTATTTATTATTTTGTTTTTATATTATATAACGAAAAATATATATCACCAATTGATTTCAATCAAAAATGATATTAACATTTATATGCTTTTGCTTTTAGCACATAACGTTTGGTCAGTTATTTTATTAATTCCAA